GATGATTAGCGGCCATCTTGGAGCTGCAGTGAGTCTCACTCTTACAGAAATAGATCTTGCTTAACTCTGAATGCCAGAAAACACCTAGTAAATGCTACCTTCCTTCATTCCGGCCATTGACTATGGTGACATTATTTACATGAATGCCTCTGCCAGTTCCTTGCAGATGTTGGATGCTGTCCAGCATGGCACACTAAGATTCATAACTGGTTGTAACTACTGTACCCATCACTGCACCCTGTACTCCTTGGTCAGTTGGTCATCATTATCTACCTGTACATGTAGGCTCTCACACTGGTTCATTTTCATCTATACAGTAAATCCCTCCTTGGTCTGCTACCTTCTTATATCTCCTTCCACATGTCTGTGCAGTTACAACATGTGCTCTTAGGTCATCATTACCTGCAGCGTTCCCTCATTGCGGACTGAACTTGGCAAAAAGGCATTTTCTTACTCAGCTCCTGCATCTGGAAAACCTTGTAACTGGAATTGAAGTTGTCCTCCTTGATTTCTTTAAAGGGTTTCAAACATTTGTTAATGGCAATAGAAAAATCAAAGCAAATGTGTTCTTGTTTTTAATATTTCACCCTGTTTTATGGCAAACTGATTTATTGTTTATACACTACTTTTATTTTAACTGCATTTTACTATAGGTTATTGTTATTGTTTGTTGTTATTGTCTGTATTTTATATGTTCTGTCTGGAACAGGTCCCTCTTGTAAATGAGTCCTCATGGCTCAATGAGACCATCCTGTATAAATAAAGGTTAAATCAATGAAAAAGGACTTGGGGTCCACTGTCCAGGAAAATGGGGAGTGTGGTAAAGAGGTTTAAAAGAGAGTCCAGGCAGGATGGAGAAAAGTTTCAGGAGTGATCTGTGACAAAACGGTGTCAGCAAAGGTCAATGGAAAACTTTACAAGACAGTTAAAAATAAATATATGCTTCATTTTACTGCCATATATTTTATTGTTTATTTTTCAGTGTACTTCCTCTGACCATATGTCACTGAATGGTACTCATATTGATACTCTGTATTGGCAAGTACTCAAATGTATGTACTTGTAAATGGTTTGAAAAAGTTTTATACTGGTGCAGCCCTACGTCTAACTTCTGCTAATTGTAATCTATTTGGAAAAGTTTGTTTATTTAAGCCAGTTTCTGGGAATTTCACAGCAGGCTTGCTTAAAACACGTCAATAAGTTGCTATTTACACAACACATTTTGTTGGCAGACCTCAAACTGATGAAGCCTTTTGGATGAAAGATGAAACGTTTATTCCAAGAATAATCTGTCCAGATGACATGACTGAACTTTTTTGTGATATTCAGGTTCAATAATATGTTTTTTTCCTCCAAACATCTGGTTTTCACAGAAGAGTGATCCAAGTGGAGATGACATCGAGGTCCCAGTGGAAAATGAGGCTTTCATGGACAGCTTCTTTGCACAAGTATTTTCTTTCTGTCGTTGCAAAGTCTTCACTTTAATCACATTTGCTTCATAATAAAGTGTGTGCCTTTTGTATGGGTGTGTTTCAGATTGAAGATATACGCACCAGCATTGACAAAATTGATGAAAGCATAACGGAAATTAAGAAACTTTACTCCACCATCTTGTCGGCCCCAACATCTGACCAAAGTAACTGCTTCAAACACACATTTTCAGATATCCAGTGTTTTCAAATCAATTCCTTCCTTACTTTCTCTTCTGATTTTTTCTTTCCAGAAATACAAGATGATGTTGAAGCTCTCACCAATGAAATAAAAAAGTCTGCAAACAATGCACGAAACAAGCTCAAGAGTCAGTATTTAGATTATTTTATTGTTCCTTGTGAGTCTAGGTAATAGTGTAGAACACCCTGTATGACATGGAGACATGTCAGTTGAGTGACATGTTGAAGTCATCCCTTACAGGACACTTTGTAAAAGCTAACTGAGTTTTGTTTGTGTGGTTAAGGTATTGAGCGGCAGCTTGAATCAAACACGGATGAAAGAGCCTCAGCTGACCTCAGGATACGCAAGTCACAGGTGAAAGAGCAGGCAGCTGACCAGCTAAAGTACACATACAGATGTGGATCGATGTGTTGGCACCGTCTATAATAGTAAAAAACACAACAGGTGTAACTGGCCAAAAAGTTCCAGTTTTGTCTCATCAAGCCCAGAAACTTTGGTTCTGGTCTGCATGATTTTTGATGAAGTAACTGACATTTAGTGCTTTCTATCAAAGGTTGAGCCCTCCTGTTACAAAAATCCCAAACATGGTTCTTCATGGCCTAAGCCATCAATTAATACCTCTGTATACAACACGTCTACAGATGAATCCACGTCAACAATATTTGATAGCTGGTTATATTGAATATGTGCAATAACTGTTGCAGCCCTGGAGTTCAGCCACCTGAGCCCCATCTTCTTTAAGTTTACATGAAAAAACATTGGATACAAAAATGATATGCAACAGAATCCAAGAAGTACTTTTTAAAGTAACCTGAAAACATAAATTTGAATTTATCAAATACTGTTAACAAGTCAATTAACTGAACTGTCTGTATTTGCCCCCGCCCACCCCCACCTTCCTACAGCATGCTATTCTGGCCAAAAAGTTTGTGGAAGTTATGACAAAGTACAACGAAGCTCAAGTTGATTTCAGAGATAAAAGCAAAGGAAGAATTGCTCGCCAGCTGGAGATCAGTAAGTTGACTTACACCAAAGCAGATCTTCAATACACAACACTCATTACAGACTCATTTTTTTATTAATTTTTATTATAGCTGAAGGATTTACTTGTCTTTTCTGATCTAATTGTTATCTTTTTTGGTACTAACAAAAACAAAGACCAAACAAAAACCGCCCTGAAACATTTTCCATCTTAGACCTGTTTCTAACAAATATGCCTCACAAATTCCCTGGTACAGGTGTATTCACAAACATTTTGAGTGATCATTGTGTGACAGCGGCTCTCAGAGACATTAAACTTCCACCTTCTAAGCCCAGATTAATTAAAAAAAAGGATCTGAAACATTTTGCGAACAGTCATTCCTCTGGGATCTGTCTCACTTTGACTGACATCGTATTCTGTTAACTGATGACGTGAACTCTGCTTGGAACTATTTTCATAATAGTTTCATTTATTTTGTGAACTTACATGCTCCTTTTCGTCAGTTCAGAATAAAGGGACGAGACAGCCCCTGGTTTACTCCAGAGCTAGCTGACCTCCTGCACAGGAGAGATCATCTTTGGGCTGCAGCGAGAAAATCTGACTCAGACACTGATTGGTTGAGTTTTCAACAGATGAGGAATAAATGCACAACTGCTGTCAAAGCAGCAAAATGCAACTATTTCTTATCTCAGACCTCCAAAAAGCTAAATGACCCTAACAGATTCTGGAAAACCATCAAATCTCTCTCAGGCACCCTCCAATCATCTGACCTCCCATCACAACTTCTCATTAACTCTGTTCCTGTGTCAAATAAGCACGAGATCCTGAACTGTCTCAACAAACATTTTGTTGCTTCTGGTTCTTTATTTGACACAGTTACTAACGGAAAATCAGCCACTTCACTTAATAACAAAACTTCTAGAAATCAAATTCCTCCTACAAGTCAATCCTCAGTTAATCACAGCTTCTCTTTTTCTCCATTCTCAGTCAGTGAGGTCAATAAACTGTTAAAAGATCTTGTTCCTAAAAAATCTGCAGGACCAGATGAACTTCCACCTTATTTCTTTCTTTTTTTAATGACATCACAATGTTTTGTTTAGGTTTTTTTCCCTTGTCCTGTCCGGCATTGTGACACTTAGAATTATTGTCTGAGTGTCAAAGTGATGCCCAACAGATTTACTTTCACAAGCAGAGCATTATGGCTGGCCTTAATGCTCCACTTGATATATAAATTAAATTTTATTATAATTTTCTTTGGGCTTGTTTCAGATGTAATGGACATGGGGATGAAAAACAAAGAAGAAAACAAAGCAGAAAAGTGAGAGAAGGGTTAAAAGGTAAATAAGGAGATAGGAATAGAGGAGAGAGAGAGGGATAAGGAGAACACAAATCAACATCATTGAAGTCTGTCTCTAGACCTGGGGAAAGAGAAAAAAAAAAGACAAAACCAAGAAACCACAACAACAAACAACTTGTATAATGATACTTATAACATCATTAGAAAGTATTTTATACAGTACATGGTAATACAAGATGTATTTAGTGGCCACCACAACCCATCTGAGTGTGTATCTGATAAACACCTGAATCTAAACACCTGTGTGAGCATGCTTGTCACTATAAGGTTTCTCCATAGAAATCTTCAATAGTGGATGTGGGGACCCACAGACCCGTCCCCACAGGACACAATGGTAACACAGGGAAGACCGGAGCCACAGGCACACAGCAGTCCCCAAGCCTGGAGCTCCGGGAGTCCCCCACCATGGACACCCCAGAGAGAGAAGCAAAGGGAAGCCCCGAATGATCCCCAGCAACCACAATGCAGAAACCCCAGGAGGCTGCAGCGATGAGTCCACAGGTCCCGCTGGCAACCCGCCCCTCCAGAGTAGATCCGACCATGGACACCGAGCCCCGAGTCCCGAAGTCATACCAACCCCCAACAGAGGCCCGATAGAGCCAGGGCACCCAGCCCCCAACAGGCAGCCACCAGGGTGGGCCTGCACACACCCCACCACCCAGACCCAGCTGCTGAGAGCCACCAATGCACTGGTGGTAGGGGGGCACACCAACCCACCGGAGGGGAGCGCGACGGGGGAAGTAGACCCCACATTATATGGGGGGCACAAATTGATCCAAGAGAGGGGACCACCTAAAACCCAACCCGAGACATAAACAGGCACACAGAGACAGCCTGACAGAGCCTCTGGCAGGCCGTCCATGCGCCCTACCCACCCGACAGTGACCGCAAGCCGGCCCCAGGCCGGGTGCCAGAGCAGCAGGGAGCAGCAGCTGAGGAAGGTTGGCCCAGCGCACCAAGGACCAGGCACCCCAACAACCCCACACCACAGGCCTGGAGAAGCGCCGGCATGCCACCTATGCACCCCCCATACACACAACACCTCCTACCGCAAATGTCACATCAGGCCAACCAGTCAGCACCGCGCCAAAGCGAAACCATGCCCCCGACCACCGCCATACACCACCAACGACCACACTCACACACACAGCTGATCTCCCGCCAGAACCCAGCCGCCACCCCAGCCAAAGAGCCGGCCATCGCAACCAGGAACCCTCATCAAAAGATCTGAACAACCCAGGGAGAACCAGAGCACCGGCCCCACCCACAATCGCCCCCCAAGGCCCAACGCCCACCCACAGCCCAGACCCCAACCAGGCAGCCTACCCCCCCCCCCCTGCCCCCGATCTCAAATGTCAAACGGAGCACGGGGGTGTAAGGAAAAACCTGGTGATGAGCTGCTGAGATCACGTGAGAGCTGTGCTGTGTAAGTAACATGGCAAGATATTGCTAAACTAAAATGATTCGACTCAGGTAAAACAAGCCAATATATTACAATCAAGCATAATAAATATTGTTAATAATAACCTCTGCATATTGTTTCAATAAACCAAACTGGACAAGGAAACCTTGGACAGTCTGGAGAGTTACGTGGAGGAGTGTTTTAACAACATCGTGATGGGTAAACCACAAAAAAACAACGCACATCAACGGCCACACCAACTCCTAAATGCACGCGTTCAGAGAGCTCAACCAGCACGTTCACCTCTCCAGAGAAAAGCTTCACTGATGTCCTGGGCTCTATAGACAAGAAGCTAGCCAGCTTAGATGCTCGGCTGGCCCTGGTGGAGGTTCTCCACAAGGAGTTTCAAGCACTGAGGGAGTCTCTGGAGTTCAGCCAAGCTCAGGTAGCGTCACTTGCTGCAGAGAACCAAACTCTGAGGGGTAACGTCAAAGAACTCACCGAGAAGAGGTTGCAGCTGTCTGGAGAGAACGGGAAAATGAAAGAATCCATTTGGAACATTCAGGCTCAAAGCATGCGGGATGATCTTGACTTCTCTTGGATCCCAGAACGAGCAGAGGAGGACGCTGAAGTTACGATCCATGAGTTTATCCAACATCAGCTGAAACTCCAAAGTGAGACAATAAAAAACATCACATTCCATCGTGTTCACCGGCTCGGAGGTAAGAAGCCCGATAACAAGCGACCTCGACCAATTATAGCTAAATTTGAACACTTTAAACAAAAAGAGCAGGAGAGAGGTTGGGGCAGAGAGCTGTGTGGGATGGACTTCAGTGTGAACGATCAATTTCCTAAAGAGATCCTCGATCGGAGGCGAGTTTTGTTTCCAATCAGGAAGAAATACATGTCTGAGGGCGTCAGATCTACGGTGGCTGTAGATAAACTTTATATTAATGGTCAGTTGTTCAGGGAACGGGACGTCACCCCGTGGCTTTATTAAAAGGAACAACAGGTTAGTTTGAAGCAGGGCTGTTCAACTGACGGCCCGCGGGCCAAATCAGGCCCACAGGTGAGCTAAGTTCGGTCCACCAATGGGTTCATTCTTTTAAAACAAAACTAGAGTTTTAACTATAAAACAAAGTAACTTAATGATAAGAACTAGTGGATATCTGACCCCTGAGCGCTTGGCTCTCAGTAACTGTGGCCCCCTGGGCAGTTTAGTTGAACAGTCCTGGTTTAACGCTTGTAACACTGGAGGTAAATTAACTGGCATTTGTAAATAAAATGTAAAGCACAGCTCGGTAAGCTGTCTGCACTGGTGGTGGTGAACGGTGTCACAGCTATTCTTTTCCTTTTGTATTTTTATTATTTTCTTCTTTAGTTTGTCTGTTACCACATCACTTCATCAGTCTTTTTCTCTTCTTTACCACCCAACAAACATTTACACACAAGCACACCAAAACACACACACACACACAAACACACACACACCAGAGAACTTCAAACATCACTGTGTGTTTCTAAACATCTAAACAGGCAATCTGAAGCAATAACTGTGATTTTAGTTGGATCTATTTGTCTCTATGGTGACATGCGCTGGTCAACTTTAGCTACTCACGCACAACTATGGGCACATTAAGGTTTGTGACTTGGAATGTCAATGGAACCAGTACTCAACAAAAAAGATTAGGAATTTTAAACCAGCTTAAAAGATTACAGGCAGATGTTGTCTTTTTACAAGAGACTCATAAATCTACTACAACTGCAGATGATCTTAAATCACCTGACTTTCCTGATGTGTTTTGTGCTTGCTATAACTCAAGACAAAGGGGAGTGGCAATATTAATACACAAAAATGTTAATTTTACAGTACTAGACACAGTTACAGACCGACTGGGTAGATATTTAATAATACAACTTTGTATAAATAACTACAAGCTGTGTATTGTCAGCATATATGCCCCAAATGTTGATGACACCTCTTTTTTTCATGATTTTTTCCTCAGCACTGTCTGATCACTTGGATTGCTCACTTATACTTGGAGGTGACCTCAACTTTGGTCTAAATGAAGAATTAGACAGATGTAGTAGAGCAGGAACTCAGCGCAGTTGGCAGTCCATAAATATAGTTAAACAGTACATGAATGATTATGGACTTTGTGATACATGGCGATCTCTTCACCTGAATCGTAGAGAGTATACTTTCTTCTCACCTGTCCATCACTCTTACTCTCGTCTGGATTATTCTTTAGTCAGCAGCTCGTTGTTGACGGACATCTCAGACACTGAGATTCACCCTATAGCTGTCAGTGATCATGCTCCTGTCTCTTTAACTCAAGCAAACAGAAAAAAATCCCAAAAAGTATAAACTGGAGATTTAATATATCATTGATGAAGATGAAGACTTTATCAAATATTTTACAGAAGAGTGGGCCTCTTATCTGGAGTATAATGACTTGCCTGGAACATCAGCATCTGTTCTCTGGGAGGCAGGGAAAGCAGTGATGAGAGGTAAAATAATCTCATTCTCATCACATAAGAAGAAAAAAAAAACATATTCAATAATTAGAAGAAACCATTAAATTGTTAGAAGCCTTCCAAGATGAAGAAATGCTGGACAAAATGCGTAAAGCAAAATTAGAATTAAATGAACTTATTAACAAAAAACTCAATTCTTAATACAAAGACTTTGAATAGAAAACTTTGAGCAGAGCAATAAGTCAGGTAGCTTTCTAGCAAAACAGCTCAAAATAAATAAGGTAAATGGTAAATTGACTGCACTTATATATTATTTTTCATTCAACCTTTATTTAGACAGGTAAATCCCATTGAGCCTCGAGGATTCATTTATAAGAGAAACCTGATATCAACAAAGAAAGATGACAACAATGGACAACAGCGACAACAAAAGACAGTTATAAAAAAGCATACAGATTTTTTTTACAAATAAGATGGCAAAAAGAGTAACAAAAACAGCTAGATTATAAGGCAAATGTAGAAAACTAATACTAATAGTAAACTGATTAACTGAGGATTGACTTGTAGGAGGGATTTGATTTGTAGAAGTTTGGTTATTAGGGGAAGTGGCTGATCTTCCATTAGTAACTGTGTCAAATAAAGAACCAGAAGCAACAAAATGTTTGTTGAGACAGTTCAGGATCTCGTGCTTATTTGACACAGGAACAGAGTTAACGAGAAGTTATGATGGGAGGTCAGATGATTGGGGGCTGCCTGAGAGAGATTTGATGGTTTTCTAGAATCTATTGGGGTCATTTAGATTTTTGGAGGTCTGAGATAAGAAATAGTTGTGTTTTGCAGCTTTGACAGCAGTTGTGCATTTATTCCTCATCTGCCAAAAACTCAACCAATCAGTGTCTGAGTCAGATTTTCTCGCTGTGGCCCAAAGATGATCTCTCCTGTGCAGGAGGTCAGCTAACTCTGGAGTAAACCAGGGGCTGTCTCGTCCCTTTATTCTGAACTGACGAAAAGGAGCATGTTTGTTCACAAAATAAATGAAACTATTATGAAAATACTTTGTAGTTCTCAGCCGTGTTCACAGCGTCAGTTAATAGTCAATCAAAGTGGGATAGATCCCAGAGGAATGACTGCTCACAAAAATGTTTCAGATCCCCTTTTTTAATTAATCTGGGCTTAGAAGGTGGAAGTTTAATATCTCTGAGTGCTGCTATTACACAATGATCACTGAAAATGTCAGCGAATACACCTGTACCAGGGAATTTGTGAGGCATATTTGTTAGCAACAGGTCTAAGATGGAAGATTTTTCAGGACGGTTTTTGTTTGGTCTAGTGGGAGAGTCGATCAATTGGGTTAGATTGAGTGACAGGCAACATTCCTTGAATTTATCACAGAGGGGGGTCGACTTATCTCAGTCAATGTTGAAATCTCCTGCCAAAAAGATCTCTTTGAATTTTAAATTTCCAAGGAATTCCATCAGGGAGGACAGAGCCTCAGGTGTTGATGAGGGGGGATGATAACAACAGACTACAGATAAAATCTGGCCTCCATTCAAAGTGATGTTTACAGCTAAGGCATCAAACTGGTTTGGAATTGTTTCAGCAGACACAAGACAAGAAACCAGAGAAACTCTGATGTAAATAGCGACTCCACCCCCCCTTTTTTGATGATCACAGTGATAGAGGTTAAATCCATCGATTACCAGGTCATTATTCAGTACAGATTTGTTGAGCCAGGTTTCAGAGATGAAGATTACATCTGACCCAGAAGAACTGACCAGAATTTTCAAGGTATCAAGTTTTCTCAGAAGGCTACGAGCGTTTACATGCAGAAAATGAAGTCCTGACATGTTTTTAAAGTCATTTGGTGTGCTGTAATTAGTGGGGGGTCGTCGATACCTTAATCAAAAACCTCTTATCTCCATTTTTGAAAATGAGGTCAAACAATACATCAAAACTATTAAATATTCCACCAACACAAAGGCCATAAAAACTTGCACCTTATATGCTCTCTTCAATATATTTATGAAATATGTTATTATAAATTATTGTCTCAGTGTTTGTAACCCCCTGGCGTCTGTTATATCATTACTGTATACTGCAATTTATTGTATTGTTTTGTACTTTTTCAATAAAGATTAAAAAAAATAGTGGGCGGTCCAGGGTTGGGCTGAATCCCTGAGATCAGTAACAACATTATTATCAGACATTTTATTGTGTTTTTCGTGACTGATGTGTAACTACAGGAGTTAACAATGTGACAATTAGCCCCCATAATCGAACCATGAGAAACATTAATGAAAACGCGATCATTCAGAACCCAAAAACAGTGAAAGTTGCAGTGATGGGCAGATCCAGGTGTATTAACAAGATTCAGTGACTCCAGATAGACTTGAGATCTGAAAATAATGACAATAATATGAATGGTGCAGAAATGTCTAAGACTATAAAGTGTCACAACTCAAATGGGCAAACAAATCCGACGAGGTGGCCCAATTGCAGTTTGAGTTGGGTTGCTGCGAAGATGGATGGATGCTCCCATAAAAAACAGAAGCAGGGTCCAGAATCAACAGGCAGAAACAGATAATTTGCAGCAAATAGCAGAGCGAGCTGCCAGAAAATCCTCCTGAAATGAAAGGCATGGTCCTAGCTCGTTTCAGGTCAACAAGGGACAACAACGTGATCCGGAATAAAAATAATTATTATCCAGGCGTGTTTGGATGGAGGTCTGTAGCCACTCCGATGCAAACTCTAAACTTTTCTCGAGCACCACGCAGCGCTGCTCCTCCACTTCTTTGCACGTCACCTTCGTACTCCACATAACGAGAGGCACCCCCGGTGAAAAACAACGAGACTGACCGGAGAGGCTGAGGCTGAAGTCATCACTGGTCCGGTTTGGTTCTGCTCCAGTCCAGCTCCGGCACTCCATGGCACAAGAGGCGAAGAGGCTGAAGTGGCTGAAGTCGTCTCTGGCCCGGTTCTGCTCCAGTCCGGTTCCGGCGGCACTTCAAAGCATCAGAGCACAGTGATTCCACGGACGTGGACAGTCCTTCATTAAAAGGTAACGGGCTGCTCACTGAGGCTGAGACCGGCTCTGTTAAAGACGAAGTCCCCCACAGCCAAATCGGTTTGGTTCTGGTCCAATTCGGGGGACACAGGTACACTTCCCCCACACCAATGAAGACACCACGAGGGCCAGTCCAGCAGAAAACTAGTGACATACCTCCCAGCAATTCTTGTTGGAACCAGGTAGAACCACAAAGGTCCAGATGAGAAGTTCGTTGGGGTCCGGAGAGAGAGAGAGAAAACACCGGACCTTCGTGCGACAACTCCCCAGCTCGAGGGGTCACCTGGACAGCAGGGTGCGCTCAGAGTGACCGGTGGGGTGGGAGCGGCCGGTCCTGGACCGAAAAAATTTTTTTGGACGGTCCTGTCCGGCTCTCTGAGTCACTGAACACCGAATTCGGTTGTAAGGGGGACTAACTTTGGTCCGATTCGAAAAAACATATCAGTTTGATGGTAAAAGACTGCAGAGAAGCTGGGGGGAGCTGCCGTCCATCAGCTTGCCGGAACTGGAAGTATAGCGCCTTTCTATCTTATCGAGATACTCAAAGCGCTTTATACTACAATCTGTGTCCTCATTTACCCATTCTTACAGCAAATAATTCTAAAGAGACTAATCAGTGCTTTATCACATTCATGGATTGTCCTAATAAAGCCCCTATCTTATGCGGGAACTATTCATTTTAGTTTTCATATTGCTTTAAAATTTAATTTCCCTAAACAATTGATAACAGTAGCGGCCAAATGTTAATCATTTGGTTATGAATCGATTATCTAAATTTGCTGAATTAAATTGAATTAAATAATTTTGGTAATCCGTGAATAAATGTTTATTTTTACAGCCTGAATTTTTCATTCCTATGTGTTCTGCAGCGGGAAAAGCAACAACTGATGAAGAACTGGAGATGATGCTGGAAGGGGGAAATTCTGCTGTTTTCACTGCTGGGGTAAGACCTGTATGTTTGGTTCTGTACGTGAATAAATGAAGCATGCTGGATAAAACTCAACCAGAAATCGAACTTTAGCCAAACCACTTACAAAAAACAAAATCTTTGTTCTTTTAAGTGGCCTTGCTTTAGTGGACTGTCAGAAACAAGTTTAAGTTACTGACAAATGATTACATCAAACAAGACAAAATAGTTTTAAGTCATTTTAAACACAATTACACAAAGGCACAATTTTTCATTTGTCATCCATCCGTCCACCCACCCACCCATCCATCCATCCATCCATCCATCATCCATTCATTCATCCATTCATCCATACATTCCACCCACCAATGGTAAATGGACTGTACTTATATAGCACCTTTCTATCTTATCAAGACACTCAAAGTGCTTTGCAACAGAATCTGTGTCCTCATTTACCCATTCAAACAGCTCTCTACTAGATCTCTACAAAAACTAATCAGAGCTTTATCACATTCATACACCGATGGGACACACATCGGAGGCAATGAGGGGTTCAGTGTCTTGCCCATGGACACTTTGGCATCTGACTGCTGGTGGATTCAAACCCCCAACTCTTGCATTGGAGGACGACTGCTCTAACCACTCAGCCACAGCAGCCCATCCATCCAACCATCCATCCAACCATCCATCCACCCATCCATACCTCATCTATCCAGCCATTCATCCATCCATACCTCCATCCATCCACCATCCATCCACCCATCCATACCTCCATCTATCCAGCCATTCATCCATCCATACCTCCATCCATCCATCTATCCATACATACATACATACAACCATCCACCCATCCACCCATCCATCCAACTATCCAACCATCCATCAATTTGTTCTCAACAGCTTATTCATGTTTATGTAGTAGAGACGACAGGTTCAAGAGGAAAACAACCATTCCTCTCCTCAACTCCTCCATAGAGATACCAAGAGAGGATTTACAGTAAATTTACTCCTTTGAGTTCTGGGTCTCTTTCCTAATGGAACATCCCCAGAAACCCCCCAGCAAGTGGCATCTTAATAAGAAGACCAGACCACCTCAGCTGACTCCTTTAGATGCAACAGAGCAACAAATTAACCCCGCCTCTATCTTTATATATTTTCTTCACCCTATCTAACCTGAGCCCAGCCACTATAGGGGAAAAGCACATTTCACTTACTCATAGTTTCATATTTTGGGCCCATATTTGACTCTTAATTCCTGACCATAAATTAAGGTTGGAATGTAGACAGACCAGAAAATCTCAAATATCTCCTTCTGGCTAAGGTCTTTGCCACCCTAAACCAGATCAACAATTGTACTACTGCAGATGAATTTGTACCATTGCATCTTGTCACCACTTGGGAACATTTGGTACAACAAGTATAAAATGTCCTTTGTATTTAGCTCAAATATGTCAATGTTTCTTCAGAATCAATGACCTTCATTTTTTGTTCATGCACTGTATTGAAGTTGGACTGATTTGTTTAGTTTGCTTCTATAAGAAATTGAATGATTATCTAGATTAGTTTCCTTATATTTATGTTTGCTAAATGTTCTGACTTTGGCTTTGTGTTTTATCTCCTTGACAGATTATGGAGTCGAAGATCAACCAGCAGGCACTGGATGAGATCGAGGCTCGTCATAAAGACATCATGAGGCTGGAAAGCAGCATTAAAGAGCTTCATGACATGTTTGTTGACATTGCCATGCTGGTAGAAAACCAGGTAAATATTCATGTATTGACGCAGTAGTAAAATAACAAAATCTTTTTGTTTCTGCAAACTAGATATTCACTGGACCATTTTTAGCTTAATATTTATTCTGTATGCAGATGGACCAGCATGTTAAATTTGTTTCTTTCACATTTCAAGCATGTTCTAATTACATTAAAATAAAATAAAAAATCAGTAAGTACTCACTAATGATATACACCATTTACATACACATTATAGTGTTGTGGGCTTTTTATCTGTGGAACAACAACAGGGCTTTTCATTGCTCATTTTGTTTGTTTCTAAGAAATCATGTAATCGTTTGTAGTGTTGTTTTATGTATAAAAAAAAGAAGAACACATACACTAAAACAGGAGATCTTAAAATTATACAAGTACAAGTAGTTATACAGTATAAATAGTTAGGATTGGTAAATGCAACAACAGAAACTTTATTCTCATTCCTCATCATTTATATCTCTTGTTCAGTGAAATGAGGAACTCATAGAACATCACTCAACCTTCTGACATGGATTCAATAATTTCAATAGATAAACTTTTATTAACTTGCCTTTTACACTGAATTCTAACATTCTCACTTTCCTCAGGTGGACCAGTCACCTGTGTCATGTCAACAACCTTCTTTTCAGGCATGCCATGGAACATTAATGGGTTCATAGGATAAATAAACAACAAACACAAATGTATGGTTTCCATCCATCCATCCATCCATCCATCCATCCATCCATCTATCTTCCATTATCTTTACCCATTTCTTCCTTTTGGGGTTACGGGGGGTCACTGGTGCCCATGTCCAGCCTTCACTGTGTGAGAGGTGGGGTACACTCTGGATGGGTCTCCAGTCCATCACAGGGACACATAGAGACAACCATCCACTCTCTCTCTCTCTCACTCTCTCACTCTCACTCACCCACCCACCCAGGGACAATTTAGAGTGACCAATCAGCCTAACATGCATGTTTTTGGTCTGTGGGAGGAAACTGGAGCACCTGGAGAAAACCCACGCATGCACGGAGAGAACATGCAAACCACCAGAAAGGTCCCTGACCAGGATTTGAACGGAGGACCTGCTCGCTGAGAGGTGGCAGCTCTACCAACTGTGCCACCGCCCCGCCCAAATGTATGGTTTTGAAAAAGGAAAAGAAAAAACCACATATCTGTCCTTGGTTTAGTGGTCAGCTCTGTTGCCTCACAGCAGGAAGGTTCAAGTACGGGTTCTTCCTGTTTGGAGTTCTTCATGTTGAAAGTTCTTTCCTTGTTTGTGTGAGTTTTCTCCTGGCACTTGGTTTCTATCCACAGTCCATACATTTCTAAGTGAGCGTGTGTGCTTTTGTGTTTGTTTGTTTCCATGTGATGGACTGGTGATCTTTCTAAGTTTATTTTGCTTTTGCCCAAAATGCATCTCCAGCCCCCCACCCCCCACCCCTATACCCAACATTAATTAGGAAGATGGGAAAGTCAATTAGACAACTTGTGTAAAGACGAGTAGGAATGAGTAACTAAGGAAAGCACTGGTTCTGCTTACTGACAAAAGTCCCTTTTCCACAGTTCCTCCTTGGGCCCGCTTTAGCCTGCTTAGGCCGGTTCCATGTCCTTTTCCACAGGGCCTTCTTCATGGAACCGGCCTGTTTTTTCAGAACCTACTTCTCTGCGGTTCCACTGAGTCCAAGCAGGACCCAAGTATGTGACGTCAGAACATTGTCGGTCACTGGTTGGTCAGGGGGAGGACTCACTGGATCTTTCAGAAACTTTTCAAAACACCGATCCGCCATTCGCAATTTCTCGGAACCCGGAGCAGCGGCTGGATCTATTTTAAAGATTTTAAAACCACTAATGACAGCACAGTGGTCTAATGCTGAAGTGCAGGCATTTTTTGTGCTTGATGGTCGATGACAAAATTCAGAGCGAGCTAGATGGAGCTCCACCGGTCTCCCTGGTCCTCTCCACCAGAGCCTCTGAGCCAGGACGGGCAAGGCGTCATGTGCCCGGCTCCGAGCTCCGCTGGTCACCGTGGAAGATCCTCCGTGGTGCCGACTCGCGGCTCGGGCTCCAGATCCTGGCCTTGCGTGCTCTGTGGACTCTGAGTTCCTCTGGTCACCATCACGGAGGGTCATACGAGCTGCTGACTCACAGAAGGCCGTTGCCCAGACCCCGGCCTTGCGTAATCATGAAGGCCGAACCCCAATCCCAGCAGACAGGCGGACCGGGACGGGTCTGGATGGGCGGTGGAAACAATTTTTAAAAACATTTTATATATAAAAATAATGTTTTTGTTTTTTTTAATCAGTGAAGATTAAAAATAAATAAATAAACGGTGCCGGCTTTATCATGAAATCCTGTTTTCACTTTAATGGCTATTAAATAATCTGTTAAAGTTAACTTGGCTGAAAAAAAATAATTAAAAGACACAAAATTATTGGATATCTCAGGAATATTTCCCTCAAATATGTTTAAAGAAGAGCTATGGCCTTTAGTTCAACTTTATTCTAACCCACAGATGTACAAATCACAAAACAAGAACTTTAAAGCAAAGCTAAAAATAATATATATATAT